GGGTGATTGTGCAGAGAAGTGTTGGGTTTTCAACTGTAGAGATCGACAAGTGAAGGCTGTAAAGATGGGGTCATCATTCGATTTGCTTCAAATCAATGCTCAGTAGACAGAGCATCCAATGGCATGCATTTTTGCCTAAAAATAGGGTGGACAAAATGAACAATCAAATTAGAATCAAATCAAATCGAGCAGCTCGAATTGTTTCCATGAAAAAAATTAATTGTCATGATTCTTAGAATTGAAAACCGTTTTGTTCTGAATTTGGTTCGGTTCTGGTTCTTGGTTATATATATTAACAAATGAGTGAATCACAATTCACACAAAAAAAAAATTCAAAAAATTCAATTGAAAATCAGGACAAAAAAAGTCATGTACATTCGACTTTTCATTTTTCAATGTGAAGATTGGAAACCCTAATTTATTTTGTAGACACAAACCTTAATTTATTTCTCATTTTTTCTCATTTTTAATTTATACACCGACTCTGAAATGGAGATCAACAACTACCACCTACCGTCTACCGTGCGCTAAGCTAATTAAGAACAAAACTAAATATTTAAATTTTATTATTTTATANGCATATTTTAATTTCACATTCAAAAAATGTTTCAGAAACTATTTGTCAAACTCAATTCCCTATTATAAGCAACTATCAACTATTTCTCGACTAATTATTTTAAAATATTTCTCTACTAATTTTTAATTTGGATATTATGAATTTTTCAGTTTTTTATTGTTAATTTTTAGGCGGGACATCAAATTCCCTATGCCACGTCATTGATTCGTGTTATCATTATTCATTGGTTGAGAATACATTCCCACCGGCTTTTACCTCCCCTCTCTAGGGTTTGTGTTTTCTCTGTGTTTTTTGAGGGGCCCTTGTAGACCGTTGGATGGGCCTGTTCGCGGAACAATGAAGACACGTGTCAGAATCAATAGGTTTGAGGGTTTTGAGTTAGGGTAATTATATTACCACTATAAATTTTATTAAGTACACCACAATATTCTTATTTACTTGCATTTTCCCTTTATTGGAATTTTTAGTCCCATTGGTTGATGGCTTTTACAGTTTTATGTAGGTATTCTTCAGGAAAAGTGAAAGTGAATAATGATTAATTCAAATAGTTTT